TCGTGTGACTGGGCAGAGCGAGCGTGGCAACGTCAGGGAGTGCAGTCTTCTCCCTCCAGAGCCCAGCACCACGCTGTGCGGGGAGCTACGTCCCAAAACCGACCAATTATGCAACGAGGAAGTCCAGTCACTCCTCACACCTGGATATTCAGTTCTGACTTTCCAGATGCAACTGTGGTCCTATAGGCCCACATGTGCCCACAGGACTAAGAGGCCGGGTAAGAGTACCTCAGTGCCCGGGGGAGCGAGGGGAGGAATTTCTGGGGACAATAACTTCTTAAGAAAAACTGCCCTATGACAAGGTCCTTTTTGAGACTTATGGTTTATGATTCCACGTAAAAGGAGCTTGGGAGGCGCCTAACATCAAGTGAAATGCTGAGAAGACTGAGAAATCAACAACTCTTCTAGGATCTGTAAGAGAGGAGAGAACACAGGGCAAATTGCTGCCCCCAAGATTAGAGAAACAGGAGTCATGGCCTATTAGAGTGGAAACTGCCTCAGGAACTGGCAAACCCATGAAAACCTGAACTCTACTGACAGATTGCTGGAGGCGCAACGCAGACAGGTAAGTTTAAAACTCCAGAGGGGCTGGTCATAGGGAGGCCTGCACACTTCTGCAAGCTTTACATCCAGGAGCTTGACTTATTTCTAACATTAAGTATCAGGAAAAATACCCACCTGCTTCCAAGAGGGTGAGGAGAGAGGGAACCATTTTGAATCAGGCCAGAGCATTCTACCCTTAAGGTCTGCCCTCAGGACAAGCTAGTTAACCAGGGCCTAACCTACTGTGGTTTCATCAGAGCCTAAGTGACCCAGAGGAAGAAAAATACACACCTGCAGACCCTCTAGCCATCCTGCATCACCTCAGGGAGGTGGTTAGGGGACAACTGAGAAGCATATCTGAAGATCGCAGCCCAGGGCACAGGCTCGTGAAGACTGAGACCTGACCACAGGACCACAGAACACCCGACCACAAGACTGCAGAACACCCAACCACAGGACTGCAGAATGCCTGACTGCAGGACTGCAGAAAACCCAACCACAGGACTGCAGAACACCCAACCACAGGACTGCAAAACACCCAACAACAGGACTGCAGAACACCCAACCACAGGACTGCAAAACAAGTGAGCACAGGACTGCAAAACACCCAACAACAGGACTGCAGAACACCTGACTACAGGATGGCAGAACACCCGACCACAGGACTGAAGAACACCTGACTGCAGGGCATATAACATCTGACCACAGGACATACAACACCTAAATACAGGACTACAGAACACTTGTGCTATGGGCTGAATGTGTCCCCCAAAGGTTCATGAATTGGTAACTCGACCTAAACTGTAATAGTGTTAAGAGGGTGGGAAATCCTATTATGGTAATTGAAAGGTGGGGCCTCTGAGAGGTGATTGGATCCTGACCACTGTGCCCATCTGAATGGATTAATTCATTCATGATTTAATGGGGGGTTATGGGTGTGGTTCTGAGGGCTTTAAAAGGAGAGCACGTGAGGAGCTCGCTCACGCTTGCTCTCTGGTTCTGTTTCTGCCATTCTCACCATATGACACCCTACATCACTGAAGTCAACATCAAAGAACGCTCACCAGGGCTGGCCAGTTAGGTCAGCTGGTTAGGGCACAGTGTTGTAACACCAAGATCAAGGGTTCAGATCCCCATACTGGCCAGCTGCAAAAAAAACCCCAAAAAACAAAAACAAACCAAAAAAAACCAAAAGGCCCTCACGAGATGTGTTCCCTGGACTTTGGACTTCCCACCCTCCAAACTGTAAGCAATAAATATTGTTTCTTTACAAATTACCCAGTCTCAGGTATTTCTGTTATAAGCAACAGACTTTATTAAAGTGAGAAATTTCTGCTCTGTGAAAGAAGTCAAGAGAAAGAGAAAACAAGCCACAAACTGTGAGAAAATATTTGCATAGGATACATCTGATAAAGGATCATTATTCAAAATGTACAAAACACTCTTAAAACTCGAGAAAACAAACAACTTGATTAAAAAAATGGGCCAAAGACCTTAACAGACACCTCACCAAAGAACACATAAAGATGGCAAACAGATACATGAAAAGATGCTCCACATCATCTGTCTTTAGAAATATGCAAATTAAAACAATGAGATACCACTACATACCTGTTAGAATGGCCAAAATCCAGAACACCGGCAGCACCAAATGCTGGCGAGGACGTGCAGCAGCAGGAACCCCGTTCACTGCTGGTGGGCACGCAGAATGGTGCAGCCACTTTGGAAGACAGTTTGGTGGTTTCTTGCAAAACTAAACATACTCTTACCATAGGATCCAGCAATTGTGCTCCTTGGTATTTACCCAAAGGAGTTAAAAACTTACATTCACACAAAAACCTGCATATGGATATCTATAGAAGCTTTATTCATAACTGCCAAAACTTGGAAGCAACCGAGACGTCCTTCAGTAGGTGAATGGATAAGAGTGGTACATCCAGACAATGAAATATTAGTCAGTGCTAAAAAGAAATGAGCTATCAAGACATGGAAGAGCCTTACATGAATATCACTAATGAAAAAAGCCAATCTGAAAAGGCTGCATACTGTATGATTCCCACTCTGTAACATTCTGGAAAAGGCAAACTATGGAGACAGTGAACAGATCAGTGGTTTCCATGAGTTGGAGAGGGAGGGAGGGAGGGAGGGAGGGGTGAGTCCATGGAGCACAGAGGACTTTCTGGGCAGTGAAACTACTAACATTCTGGAAAAGGCAAACTATGGAGACAGTGAACAGATCAGTGGTTTCCATGAGTTGGAGAGGGAGGGAGGGAGGGGTGAGTCCATGGAGCACAGAGGACTTTCTGGGCAGTGAAACTACTCATACGATACTCTGATGGTGGACACATGTCATTACACACTTGTCCAAACCCACAGAATGTCCAAGACCAAGAGTGAGCCCTCATGTGAACCGTGGACTCTGGGGGATGATGACATGTCAATTCAGGTTCGGTTATAACAAATGCACCACATTAATGCAGATGTTAATAACAGGGAAGACTACGTGTGTGTTGGGGTAGGAGGGAGAAGACAGGGTATATGAGATCTTTATGTACTTTCTACTCGATTTTTCTATAAAGGTAAAACTGCTCTAAAAATAAAACCTATTAAAAACAAGTACAAAAACAAAGATTAAGAATCACTTATTTTTATTTGAAGTGCAGATATCCTGGGGAGATGTTTGAATACCTTAAAAGCTTTGGGTAAAGAACATACTGATACAAATATTATTATTGCAGCAAAATGTTCAGGAGAGTTTTGAAGAGATTATTATTTTCCAACTCAACTGACTGGTGGTCTGTGTTTAACATATCAATTAGGGATTGTTAATTTTTGAAAGGTGGGGGTCGGAGGCAAAGAAGCAGAGATGACCTTCAGGACTGCACCGTGCTGGTTCCTCTTCCCTAAGCCACAGGCCTCACACCACATCCTGACATGGAGCAGAGTGAGGGGAAGGACCATGGAAATCCGGACCATAGTCCTATAGTCCTGCAGTTGGTATTTTAACCAATGCTGCAAAGTAGGAATTACACTGAAAATTGTGGATGAAACATAATAAAACTTGTATCCACTGCTAAGTACTGATTTAAGCAAGATAAAGTTCTCTCCAGTCAGACACAAGTAGCAAGTATGGTTTTGTTTCTATGCTTTCTCAACATAAGCTCCCTTTGCTGGGGGAAAAGGAGGAGGATCTGTGCTAATAGGTAAGGTTCTTTTCCTATATTCAAGTCATTACACATTTGTACAATCCCATAGAATAAACACCACCAAGAGTGAACCCCAACATAAACTACGGACTTTGGTGATTACAGTGGGTCAATGCACACTGATCAATTGCAACTGATGGACAGCCCTGTGGGGTGTTGACAGCTGGGGAGACTGTGCGTGTGTCGGGGCTAGGGGTATAAGGGAAATCTCTGATGTCCTCTCAATCTCGCTGTGAACTTAAAACTGCTCTAAAAAAATAATGTCTTATAAAAAAAAATGTTAAGGTCCTCTTTGCACATTGTCATATGAAGTCATCGTACATTATACTGAACAATACATACATTTATTGTATCAATAAATACAGTACCTGCTGATTGATAAGAAAAACACACATGCTGTGCAGGAGTTTTAAACAAAGCTAGCACATCACACATCTTCACGTTCCAGCTCAGTATGACCCCAGCGGCTCTTTGTCATCTATAGCCAGTACTCTGAAACTGCAAGTCATCCGCTCAACACTCACAGCGCACCTAGTGCACACGAGGGGACCATGGGGTACGAGGCAGACACCACCACTTCTCTGCAGAGCTACAGCCACACTGGGGGAGCCCCCAGGACAATGACAAAGCACAGCCACCAGGTTCAAGCACCAGGGCCACACTCCTCCTGCTTCACCCGTCAAGTTCGTGACAAGACTGTTCAGGGTCAGAGGATACCAAGGTTTTTCTCATATTTGAGGATACCAGCATTTCCTTGATCTCTCCAGTTTTGCACATATTTCTGAAAATTATGTTTCTCTGTATATTCTCATGCAAAATGGCCAGAATTATGTCTTTTGTGATTTTTCCATTAATTCTTTCAAATCTCCCCGATCTTCCTACATCTGAATGCAGAACAACAAGAAGGCTGGCTACTCCTTCCACCTAGACCTCCTCCCTGCAAAGCTCTTTGCAAAACTCTCCCCTCTCTTCCTCCAAGAACCAGGCCACAGCATCTGACAGTGAGCACGACGCTCCAGTTACCTCCTTCTGCCCCATCACTAGGACGGCCTCCAACGTGGCCAAGGACTTTCAAACAAGTGCACATATAAATTTCATGATAAAATCTTGTCTATCCCTTCATGTTGATGTTCTGTGAACTAAAAGGAATAATAATCACTCTAATAAAATGATAATATGAAGGCAAGGAAACGTGAGTAAAAGCATGTTTGGAAAGGATTTCCGAAATATAAAAAGAGGTGTGCTCCTTACCACCGTTTCTTCGCTTCCTTGCCTCTGAGCCAACTTCCACACTGATGAGCCTTCCTCACGGCTCTGCAAAAGGAGAGAGGACAGCCACAATCAGCCAGAAACAGGCAAGACTGCAGGGGAACAGAATTCCATGCCCGTTCTTCTGGCACAGGTGCTGCCCTCGGCAGGGAAGTGCACAGACTGTGAAGCTAAAACCTGTATCTGGGTCCCAGCTTTGAGGCTTATGACTTGGGGTAAGTAATTTGCCCCCAGTGCCTCGGTCTTCTCTGAAAAGTGGGAGAATGGCAGTAGGCAGCTCACAGTCTCGGTGAGAGGACTGGATACAATGACACAAGGCACCAGTCCCTGAATCTGACTCAGGAAAGCCTGACAAGTGTTACCTGTTATTGCCACTGCTACTAGGAAGGTTTGATACTTGGCAGTCACTACCCAAAACTGTTCCATGTATAAAACTGGTAACAGTATAATGTATTATTCATGAAGAAAATGAAAAGAATGTTCCATGTGTCCCAAAAATTATTCTGGCATATAGCGGGCTCTCCGCAAACGCGGAAAAATTTAACCATGATAGGGCCGGCCCAGTGGCGCACTGCGCTAGTGCGCCGCTTGGGAAGCGCGGAGGCGCTCCCGCCGAGGGTTCGGATCCCACATACAGACCGGTTCCCGCTCACTGGCTGAGCGAGGCGCGGGGGCAACACCGAGGGTTGTGATCCCGTTGCCGGTCCCGGTCCGGTACGGGGGCGACACTGAGGGTTGCGATCCGTTGCCGGACACGGAAAAAGACAAAAAAAAAAAAAAATTTAACCATGATAGGGCCGGTCCCGGTCCGGTACGGGGGCGACACTGAGGGTTGCGATCCGTTGCCGGACACGGAAAAAGACAAAAAAAAAAAAAAATTTAACCATGATAGGGCCGGTCCCGGTCCGGTACGGGGGCGACACTGAGGGTTGCGATCCGTTGCCGGACACGGAAAAAGACAAAAAAAAAAAAAAAAAAAAAAAAAAAAAATTTAACCATGATTAATTCAGTGTTGATGCTATAAAACATATGACCCAATAATAAGCCAAAACGAGCTGTCGGATATCTTCAAAACCACTTCTGGAATCTTTACGGGGAAAAACAAATCAAATATTTCCCTCCTCTGGCCTAAAAAAAAAGAATGTGTAAAATATCTCATGGAACGTTCACAAAATTAATTACATGTTGATAATATTTTAGACCTATTGAATTACATAAGACATTATTAAAATTAATTTCATGTTTTACTTTTTTCACATAAACTTCTATTTAAATTAAAAATGTACATTTACTACTAGAAAATTTTAAATTATAAATGTGGCTCATATTATAATTCTAGTGAACAATGTTAATTTAGAGCTTAGAGAGAAAAATGCGTGACATGAGGAAAACAGAAATCTATATATTTTAGGGCTGGCCCGTGGCTCACTTGGGAGAGTGTGGTGCTGATAACACCAAGGCCACGGGTTCGGATCCCTATATAGGGATGACTGGTTAGCTCACTTGGATAGCGAAGTGCTGACCACAGCAAGTCAAGGGTTAAGATCCCCTTATCGGTCATCTTTGAAAAAAAAAAGAAATCTATATATTTTCATCCAATAACTCCACAATTCCACTTCAAAAAATTTACCCACAAAAAGCACGAGGTAGATCTATATCATCTGACTGGAGGGATTTCCACAATGAACTAGGAAAAAGAGTATGCGGCACTGTGTGTGTGTGTGCGTGCATGCGCGTGTGCGTGTAATATATGGCACCAAATTGTTAAATAAGATCATCTCAAGGTCATGGGTTTCAGATAACTATCAAATAAAGAAAAAATTATTCTTCAGAAATAATTCAACAGAAGCCAAGATATGCTTGCCACATTATCTGTAATATCAAAACAAAAAACTAGGAAAATGGCTTGATAGTAATCCCAACTCCACAGTGTACCATTCTACAGTTATTAAATAACCATGATGAAGACCACTCTTACGACAATATGATGACAGCACAAGAACACAGGCTGTGGAGAAACACTGACATACAAGTGACGAAAGCAGCACACATCACCACTCTGATGGTGCGTAAGTGCACACGAGGCGACCTAAAACACGCAGACAACTCTGTGCACGGAGGCATCATGCGTGTGTGCTGGTCTTAATCACTCGTGTTTGATAGAACCTGCCAGACAAGCCATCAGCCTGGGCTTCTCTGTGCGAATATTCGTAATACTAATGCTACTTCTTTACTTATTATAGGTCTATTCAGACTATTTCTTCTTGAAGCACTTTTGGTAATTTATGTCACTACGAATTTGTCCCTTTCATCTACATTGTCTAATCTGTTAGTATAAAATGCTGTTCTATCGATTATCGAAAGTGGGGTGTTAAAGTCTCTGTCATTGTGAACGGTCTACTACTGCTCTCTTCAATTCTGTCAATTTTTGTTTCTTGTACTCTGGGGCTCTTTTGCTAGGTGTTCGTACTTGTAAATAATCGCTACATCTTCCTACTGAACTAATCACTTGATCATTATGAAATGTCTGTCTGTAATTAAACACAGTTTGTCTCAGAGTCTACTTTGCCAGACATTATAGTCACTCCAGCTCTCTTATAGTTGCTGTTTGATGGTTTATCTTTATCCATTTTTTTTTTACTTTCAATCTATTTGAGTCTTCCAATCTAAAATGAGTCTCTAGGGCCAGCCCGTGGCTCGCTCGGGAGAGTGTGGTGCTGATAACACCAGGGTCATGGGTTCAGATCCTACATAGAGATGGCCGGTTCGCTCACTAGGGAGAGCGTGGTGCTGACAACACCAAGGGTTAAGATTCCCTTACCGGTCATCTTTAAAAAAAAAAAAAAAAAAAAAGTGAGTCTCTAGTGTGCCATCTGGGATCACCATTCAAATAAACCATCTGCAAACGAGTCCTGTCTCTGGCTCTGTTTTCCAGGGGAAACCCGAACTAAGACACGTGCCTAATCTTATTGTGTAACAAAATCTATATATCCTCATTGTAAATTGTCTTACCTTCCTTCTTGAATCTTTATCTTTTCCATTACTTCTTACTAAATTCTCTGCGTGCCTAGAAAGCAAACATGATCAAAATCAAAATTGACTTTTTACAAAAAAAAAAATTTTCCATCTCAATGAAGGCTCTTACCAATATTTTGGTATGATTAAGAACTGCTTTAGGTTGGAAAACCATGTTTTTTTAGAACTATGAATGCTAAAGTCTTCTTAACATTTTTACTATTTCAGTGGTAATTTAAGATTAAAAAAAATCTTCAGTAGAGAGAAGAAACAATGTGTTTTAACAAACTTTTGTCTGTGTGAGAATCTATATCCTTTAAATTTTCTAGATATCTTCTATAATTTTATTAGAAACAGTCAATCCCAAATACTATTTTATGTTTAATATAATATTTGTATTTTTCAAAAGAAAGATTTTTCTTGAAATATGCTCTATTTTTAACCATATTTTATATGTTAATTGGGACCTAAAATAAAGGTTTTTAAAATTGCAAATTTATTCTCAATTTTTAGAACTAACATTCATGTATAACACATGGGTCTAATAGATACACAGAACTGAGCAAAAGCCTCCTTGCACATTCCTTCCAGTGGTTTTGCAGTATAAGATCTAGGAATTAGACCCCCAGGTTTAAACACTAGCTTTGCTCAAATTTGTAAAAATTCGGACAAGAAATTTAACCTGAGTTTTCCTAATCTATGAGAAAGATGACAAAATATGGTTGTCATGAAGAACAAATAAAAATCTAGGGCTTATATAAAGAATGAGACTTTACACATAGACTTTAATCTGTAATCCTCACAAAACCCACACAAGTATTATTATCATAGTTTTACTCAAAGTCCACCCAAACTCATAACTAAGAGGCAGACATGACACTCCAACCACGCTGGCCCTGCACCCTCGCACCTGGGCTGGAGCTCTGTCCTTTAAGCTCACGATTTGTGGACACTGGGCTATGGGGGACTGGCTGGCACTTCCTACTGTTAGTGGATGTGAACCAGAGTGAGCGTGCTCACGCCGATGAAAGGCGCTAAACCATCCACCCGCAGATGCTTTGAGGAGGGACCACCTCGCACATATTAAGAGATTCCCAAATGAATCATTCCCCCCCCGAGTGAGCACTGATTTTCTAATTTTGTATGAATAAATATTAAAAAGGCAAAAAAGGACTGATTATTCATAACAAGTTTCCAAGCTCCTCTAGTATACTTAAAATATAATTTGGAAGGGTTAGGTCTAGAGAAAATGAAGTATATCTATAATTTATTCCCATTTACTGGCTGTAATCAGGCCCAATGAAAAAAATTCATTTTTAAAGCAATCTATGAGAACCGTATTATAAATAATAATCAACCAAAGAATGTATATTCCTTACTGGCTGCTAGTCCCATCTCTTTTTGAACTTGCACCTCGATCTCTGTGTTCACCATTCTATCAAACAAAAAGATAATTCCATAAACATTAATTAGTATATCATAATAAATTAAGCAAAATTAGTAAACCCTGTAAAACTAGCATGAATTCAAAATTTAACAACATCATCTATACTACAAGAATCTTATAAATATCTATTTTTACTAGCTATTTTTAATAAATTAGATATTTAATGTAAGGAAAATGAATAAAAATATATGTAAAGGGGTGATTACATATTACCTCAGTAAGTAAAAAAAAAAAAAAAATTACGGTCATCCATTTCACATAAGGAACACATTTAGAGATAAATTTCATATATTCAGAGACAAATCTACTACAGACACTCCACAACTTACGATGGGGTTACATCCCAATAAACCCACTGTAAGTTGATAATACCCGAAGTCAAAAACACATTCAGGGCCAGTCCGGTGGCGCACTCGGTAGAGTGCGGCACTTGGGAGTGCAGCGGCGCTCCCGCCGAGGGTTCGGATCCCATGTAGAGACCAGTCCGCTCACTGGTTGAGCGCGGTGCAGGCGCGACACCGAGGGTTGTGATCCCGTTGCCGGTCGCGGTACGGGCGCGACACCGAGGGTTGCAATCCCGTTACCGGTCACGAAAAAAAAAAGACAAAAAAGGAAAAAAAAAAAACACACATTCAATATGCGTAACCTACACAATATGCTCAGAACACTTACATTAGCATACAGTTGGGTAAAATCATCTAACACAAAGCCTATTTTATAATAAAGGGTTGAATAGCCCATGCAATTTATTGAATACTGTACTAAAAATGAAAACCATGGTTGTACGGGTACTCAAAGTGCAGTTTCTACTGAGTGCACACAGCTATCACACCATTGTAAGTCAAACAATCATAAGTCGGGAATCATTTGTAGTTTCTTACAGTGATTAAAATTATAAACTTTCAAACACATGGAATGTAGCTATTTCACAGATCCATGCACCTACAGAAAAAGATTTAAACAATCTCTTGAATTAAGTAAATTTTAAAAAATAAAGTTAAAGCTATTAGATTATAAATCAATATATGCAGGTGAACTACAAGATGAGAGAGACACTGAGTTGAGTGACCACTGGTCTGAAGTGCAGCAGGCAGGGACATGAGGCCATTCCCTGATCGACAGAGACACCAGGGCAGCAGTGGAGAAGAGGACTACAGACCTGGACATGACCCGAGGTACAGAGCAGAAGGCCAGGATTAAATCAACAACTGAGAAAGATCAGTCTAGAGGTCAATACACAACATACCACAAGCCTTAAAAAGAGTTTAAAATATTCAAATACTTCCTTTGACCTATAAGTTCTACTTCTAAGAAATTATTCCTAGAAAACAAAGGCATGTTAAGATTTTTAATGTGTTCATCACAGAATAAATTATAATATCAAAAAATATTAATAACCTGAAGGTTCAATATCAGGTTACTTGTTAAAATAAAGTTATGACTACATGAGGGAATACTAGATGACTATTAAATATCCCAGTATTAAAAAGTATTTCCTGGAATAAGGAGAGAATAGCAGCATGATTCCAATTTTGCTTTTGTACAAAGTTCATCCACAGACAGGAGAAAAGGCCGCAAGGATATACGCACATATTACAGAACAGATCATCTCTGAGTCCGGGATCATGGGTAATTTTTGTTTTATTCTTTATGCTTCCCTGTAGTTAAAAATATTTCCAAAATAAATTAGAAAAAAAGTACAATAATATGTTTAACAGAACAGTCTTGTCAAGGTCTATAAAATAGATTGGAATGGAAAAAGACTGAAATCAGTAGTGCTACGTAGGAAAAACTTATGATTTAGTGGATAGCTAGATACAAAGAAAGGAGGATTAAGCCCGGAGAGTGGACAAACAGCACACTGCACTGGAGGGCCCTGGCCAGTGGCAACACCAGCTGACAGACTGCAAGTGGGTCTGGGTGAAACGTCCAGTGGTGGCCAGTTGGGCATTGGGGCTTGTACCTCCATCACCTCAATCCCACAACACCCGCAAGTGGTACCCTGCCAACCCCAAGGCCTGCCTGTGGCAGAGTGAGGACACAAGCTCAGCGCCTTGCTGTCCATAGCCTGTGGCCTTGTACAGCCCCTCGGGACCAATGCTGCAGTCAAGAGAGTTCTGAGCTAGAAACAAGCACAGCAGAGGGTACAGAGGTAAGGATGCTTCCACTAAAGTCGCTGGTCAGTAACCTCTGTTATATTCATCATACTTCATCATACTCTTTCTATCCCTGATAGCCAGAAGAGGCTTACAATAAAAGACACATAATTATAATCAAAATAATGGATCAAAAATCATATAGAGAAAGTCAGAGTAATCGCGGAGCACATACGAGCGTGATCCCCAGGAACAGTCCTGGTTCACGTCCGTTGTGCTGGCATCATCATTAACAGCACCGCTGCTCTTCAGGGTCACCTTAGGATGACAACATCAATCACCAGGCTAACACAGTAACAACAAGGAAAGTATCTTTCGAGTGCCAGAAAGAAGAAATGTTAACGTATAGATGTTAGTTGTATAACGCCCAACAATCACTCCTGCTGTCATGCTGTATCCTTGTTTATTTCTCTATCCTATGCTTCTCCAACAGAATAGAAGCACCATGACAACGGATGAGTGCCAGAAAGAAGAAATGTTAACGTATAGATGTTAGTTGTATAACGCCCAACAATCACTCCTGCTGTCATGCTCTATCCTTGTTTATTTCTCTATCCTATGCTTCTCCAACAGAATAGAAGCACCATGACAACGGAAACTTTTGTTTGCAGCTGTATCCTCAGCGCCTACAACAGTGCCTGGGGTGCAGCGGTACTCGAATAGGAACAAACTGCCTCAAAAAGGAAGTTTTCCAGTCATCAGAAGAATCTTTTTTCTGGGACTAATTGTGAAGTCAGTGGTTTTCATGTGCAGAAAGGCATTTCTAGGGGGGCACTAAAAAGATGCAACCCACGCATGTCGTTTTTAGTAATTAAATTTCATCCAGGGAATGGACAGTAAGCAAGCTCTACAAAACACTAGTAGTAGAGACCAAATGTGGGCATATGGGTGTTCATGGTAAAATCCTGTCAGTGTTGCTGTTTGTTTGAAAATGTTCATAATAAAATGTCAGCCAAAAAAATAATAATGAAACAGTTTGGATCTAGGGAAAGAGAGTTTAAAAACAAAAAAGAATGAACAGCTGTCCTCAATCACTGCCTCACTCAGCTTTTCGACAATGGGCACCTGGTCAGGAACATAAACATCCATGAGGCTGATTGGGGGTATGTCCACAGGCTCTCAACACCATGCACGCAGATGACAGAACTGGTATTGTCTTAGCACTGCTAAGAAACATGACCAATGTTCTCATCCAAAAGGCGGCTGCAGGCTGCAGGCGACAGAGTGGGGTTTCAGTTTAGTTGCAGGAAGGCACTGGGGCAAAGGCACTGAGGTTAAGGTCTCTAACTCATGACACATGACAGCACAAGGGGCAAGCTGAGACCCTGAAGCAGTCCACTCTCAACACAAATGCCACTCAGTCTACATGCTCTTGGTTTTAATCCAATGGCTACTGGCTCCTAAAATAAATACATGTGCATGGTAGTGGAACTCAGCTGATTATTTCATCAGCTACATATATTTGCATCAGCAGATTCAAAGTCCTGGGCCTTGGCTAAGACTCCCAGCCTTTCCCCTGAAGGTCTGAATCTCCCCCAGCCTCAGATACCAACTGACCCTCACGAGAAGATTTTACTTCCGCTTTAAAGGAAGCACCACCAAGAAATAGGAGAATAAAACCACATTAGCTTCAGATTCTGTAAAACTGGAGCAGCAAAAAATGCACACATGAGAGCAAAAGATACTAAATTTAGTCTAGGAAAATATTAAGCCTTACAGTAATAAAACCAATATACATGGGAAAAAAATTAGTTCCTCCGCAGTCAATAGTTTTAGATTTTGTTCTGTTTCGTTTCGTTTTTTGGCAAATTTATACTACCAATTTGAATTGAAGCATTGTTTTGCTAAATTATTCACTTATTTTCCACTTTAAAAATATCAGTTTCCTTTTTAATGTTAAATTTCAAAATTTTATGATAAATTTCCAAGTATCTGTTAAAAGTACACTCAAAATATAACCAAAAGATTTGGCTTCATATTTCTTAGATCAGTAATCTCTCTACACTGATCACACAAGATACACATGAATCACATTCTTACCAAGATTATACTATTAGGCCACAAATCTTAACACTTTGTGGCCACACTCAGCATGACTTTTTCTCTAAGAGCACTGATCTCAGGACTGTAAGGCAACGAAGCGCCAACAAGCGGTACCTTGGGTTCCCTCTTCCGATGCCCTTCTTTGGACGACCTCTCTTTTCTCTCTGTGTTGCTTCGCTGCCTCTCATCGTCAAGGTGAAAGGCTTCTTTATGCCGTTTTTCTCTGTGTCTTTCTTCCCCTTCCTTGTCAGAGAAGGAACTACTTTTTTCTTTTGAATATTTTTCTCTTTTTTCCCTTGTACTGCTTTTGTCTCCATGCTTCTTTTCTCGATCTGGCTCTCTGGGCTTCCTGTGTCTTCGCTCACCTTCTTCTTTGTAAAGCCAGTACTTGAGAGGATTGTCTTTACTGTCACCGTACTGCAACTGTGGAATGTAGCACATGGGATGTGCGTGAGCATGTGACATGCGAGCACTCTGTCTTTTGTGTTATCATGGAAGCAGGGAAAACCACAGATCTACCGTCGCCCCCTTCACACTCTCTCCCAGTCGGGGATCTTCCTAAAAACTTAATCTGTGGTCATTCTGGACAGAAAAAGAGCCCTATTCACACCATGCCACCCAACCCTACAGAGTAATAGAGGCACCACGGCACAGCTGCCCTCACCTGATGTGGGACAGTGTCCAATTCACAGCAAAGCCGATGTGGCTTTCACAATCGGCCCCTTCTTACCTCGACAGCTACCTTCATATATTTGGGACAGAGGCACCACGGCACAGCTGCCCTCACCTGATGTGGGACAGTGTCCAATTCACAGCAAGGCCGATGTGGCTTTCACAATCGGCCCCTTCTTACCTCGACAGCTACCTTCATATATTTGGGAACCCTCAGCCTCAGCTGCCCCAGCCCTAACATCCTGTACTGTGAAAGCTTTGCAGCTTCTCCAGGAAAACGTCCTCTCCCGGGAGCAGCTACAGCACAGAGCCAGCACCTCTCCTATAAAGACGCATCGCATCACTTTCTTTCTTACTTACTCCCACCCAGACGGGGATTCTTGGAAATGGGGACAATTGTCTAATCGCCTCTGTATCCCCCAAAACCTGTGGGTGCTCAGTAAATAACTGGTAATACTCATCATAAACTGTAAAACAGGCTATTACCAGGTAATATTCTTGGCTCAGACTCTTAGTTCTGGGAGCACTGCCAGCGTGCTCCACAGACCCCCCCAAGTCCTCATCCTTTCACACGGGGTCTCCCCTGCTGGCCCTCAACCAGGGCTCACTGGGTTCTTGGCCCACAGCTGTCCCCTCATCCCCTCCGTGGCCCCCACTCCCGTCCCGTAGACCCTGCAGTCTCCCCACTCATCTCCTTTCCTCAGTTCTCCTTAACTGCAATCTTCCCTGCTTATCTTTGCCAGGATGCACATTGATGACCTCCCAGACTTAAACCTCCCGTAGACCCTGCAGTCTCCCCACTCATCTCCTTTCCTCAGTTCTCCTCAACTGCAATCTTCCCTGCTTATCTTTGCCAGGATGCACATTGATGACCTCCCAGACTTAAACTCTATGGGAATTAAAGATTCAAGTCTTAAAAAAATTTAAAAAACCCAGAACAAAATACATATGACTTATTGACACACTTTGGAGTGGGGAAAGAGCTCTCCAAGCATTCAACCAACAACAGAAATGATGAAAGGATACACTCGACTACTTTACTTGTATAATGTTTTGTGTGACTTTTGGTGGCTGGCCAGCACAGGGACCTGAACCCTTGACCTTGGCGTTATCAGCACCACACTCAACCAACTGAGCTAACCGGCCCACCCTACTTGTTTAAACTTATTAATAAAAATAAAAATCCTACAAGTCAAAATCAAAACAAAAAACAGCAACATAAATGAGTGACAGAGAGTTAACCTTTAAAGTACTGTCACAAATCAAGAAGACACACCACTAGAAAGTAAGCAAATATACACAGTAATTAACAAAAGGGCAGTAACCCCATTTTAAAAACTGCCCTGAAATGCCATTTTCTTCTGAATCAAGTTAGCAAAGATTATAAATGATGACAATGCCCACTTGCTGCTTAGGACATGGGGAATTACACTCTGATGATATAAATAATTATAACTCTTATAAAACGCAAATGGGGTAGGTTTACATTTACTTTGCTCCAGCAAGTCCATTTCCAAAAATTAATTATAAGGAAATAATTATGAATAAGTGCAAAAAGTGTGTTTCATGAATGTCTTCATAATAAAAAAAAATTTAGAAGAAATCTAACTGTCCAAAGACAGCAGATGTGTCGAGAGAACTGACACCTCTATCTCACTGAATATTAAATTATGAAAACTATGGTACATCTGCATCGTTGAATATCAAATTACGCATCTATTAAAATATTATAGAGAAATATGATAACTCAGGAAAAGGCTTAAAATGTATTGTTACAACTTGTAAAACAGTAAAAATCCAATTTAAGAAAAAAATTTTATATATGCATATATATATGTACATATACATATATATATATATATACAAATATATATTTTTATATATATAAACATTATCAATAATCATCTCTGGGTAGGGATTAGAAAGCTTTTGTTTTCTTATTATTTACTCATAACTTTTAAATTTTCTAAAATAATCAAGAATTATCCTTGGAATCAGAGAATAACACTCAACCATGAGGGGAAAAGAAATTGACTACACACAGTGCTTGGGACCTTCCCCAGGCCTTGAATCCTGATTCACTAAATTTTCCAAAAAAAGCTCCTAACAGCGGAGCTCCAGATGCCCTGTGCTCTGCAGCACTGGGAAGCCCTTCCTGGGGCCTCACTGTGCGTACCTTTCTTTCTCGGTATCTTCTTTCTCGATCTTCGTCTCCTCTTTCAGAGTCTTCATATCTCCTTTCTTTCTCTTCAATTATTACCTTACTTACTGAAAAAATAAAACATATTCTTAACACTCCCAAATATTAGCACATCACAAAGATCTTCTAACATCTTGCTGCAGACTTTTTTGTATATTTTACATTTGTTAATAAATATTTTTTAAAATTCTCCAATTAAAACACATTCTCCAAACTCAAGAATGAAGAGTTCCCATAACTGAACTTACAGTGGAATAAAGAGGAAGATCAAAATGGCAATCTAAGGAAGAGGCACCGTTCTTCCCCTCTCCCAGTTTGCTACTGAGGCAACCCGGCAAATGTCTGATGAACCCCTGGGACTGTGGGTAAAGCAGACAAATTCCTCGTCCTCCCCTAATATTAGTCCTTGTTTTAGTTTTACAGCTAAAATATGCTTGCTTACAAGAAATATCTAAAGGTGGGCCGGCCTGGTGGCGCACTGGAGAGTGCGCTGCTTGGGAGCGCGGCGGTGCTCCCGCCGAGGGTTCGGATCCCATGTGGAGACCGGTTCCCGCTCACTGGCTGAGCGCGGTGCGGGCGCAACGCCGAGGGTTGCAATCCCATTGCCGGTCCCCGGTACGGGCGCAACACTGAGGGTTGCGATCCCGTTACCGGTCAGTAAAAAAGACAAAAAGGAAAAAAAAAAAAGAAATATCTAAAGGTTATGTAAGGAGTTAACAGCTAAAAGCCTTTTGAGCTCTGTAACTGCAGTGTGCCGGCTTGTCAGCTCTTCCTATGCAGGTGAGGGACTGGCTTGCTCTCTAGCTCGAGCTGCAGAAAGCCCCTTAACCAGATCCCCCATCTCCATGACCCAATTTTACCCACCTAGAGAAGCCCCCTACCCAAAGTTCCATACCCACCTTAACCACCTGGTAAAAACCCCAATTTGGGTAATTCTGCTTGGATACAGACCGAGCCAATAGAAAAGCCTGCCTGTTTGCTCAAGAAAGGTACATAACCCCAGCTCTCCCTGCATTCAGGGCCCAGGTTGTTGGAACGTGAGTTCCCCTGGGACCGCAGGTGTAATAAATTATCTGTCTTCTCCATTTCTCCGAGTATCTGAGTTTTCTTTGGTGACTTCTGCCAGAACAAGGGGGGCACCAGCCCACACACACAATGTTTCAGGTTTCTGTGCATCAGAGGAAGAGGTGCACAGGGAAGCTGAGCCCGGTCTGAGAAGAAACACCAGCCCAGCTGGTCAAACATTCTAGCCCACTCAGAAGCTCCAATGGAATGCCTGCCCTCGTACATGTGCTGAGGAACACAGCCTCCTGGTGCCCCCACTGCTGTGGACACAAAGGAGGCAGGAGACCCTGGATAACTAAGGCAGCCGGGTGCAGCCCACCTGAGACAACATCCAGCAAGACCTGCGAGAGAGGCCCCGAAGAACCACGCAGAGCCCATTACTGATGACCTCTGACCCCCAAAGCACCACCCAGCAAGGAAAACAAGACTTTCACTTCTGAATCTGCATAAACAAAACAGTCATTAGCCTTAAAATTAAAAGAATCAACACTTTAAAAGATGAGGGTAAAATTCCACTTTCCTAGGAGCCTGGGATACAATAGGGGAGTTGCAGGGGAGTCGGGTTCTGGGTAAATTGTCAAGGCAGAGCCCACAGGATCCCCCAAGAGACTGAAGGAGAAAGTGTGGAGTCAGGACGAGTCACCAGTTTTCTGTCCTATGGAATGAAAGGATGAAAATGGTACAGACTGGAGTGAAGTGGCTTTTGGAGGGGCTCTCAGAAGTTCAGTTTCAGGCATGCTGTGGACTGGATGTCCCCCCAAATCTTAACCCCCACTGTGACAGTGTTAAGAGGGCGGGAAATCCTATGGTCACTGAAAGGTGGGGCCTTGATGAGGTGAGTAGATTGTGAAGACCAAGCCCTAGTGAATGGGTTGACCCACTGATGGTGAAATGGTGATCATGAGCACGGTTCTGAGGGCTTTAACAGGAGAAGCAGTGACGAGTAGGCTCTCTCTTGCTTCTTTCTCACAATGTGACACCATGCATCACTGAAGTCACCACCAAAGGAGACCCTCACCATAAGTGTTCCTTGGACTCTGGACTTCCCAGCCTCCAAACTGTAAGCAATAAAGATTGTTTCTTGACAAATTACCCAGGCTCACAGGCTTACTGTTCACGATACACGGTAGATGTCAAAGTGCAGGTGGACATATGAGCCTGGAATTCAGGAATGAGGCTCAGCTGGGGATGAAAACTTAGAAATCAGGAACAGATAGATGGTATTTAAAAGGACAAGACCGGTCTCTCCGCTCTCTCTTAAAAAAAAAAAAAAAAAAAAAAGGACAAGACTGGATCCAGTCAGCAAGGGAAAGGGGTAGCTGGAGAAGTGGTCCAAGGATCAAGCCCCAGGTCAGGGACACACTTTACAGAGAGAAGGAAGAGGAGACGAGGGAAGAGACCTACAGATGACGACGGAAAGAACGTTAAAGAGTCTAACTGTGTAATCAGGCTTCCAGTACAATTCACTTCTGTACTGCACTGAAAAAAACAAGAGCAGGTAGCAACAACAACAACAAAAAAAACAAGTTATCTGAGAAGAGAAGATTTTTGTTAGAAATAAATACCAAGACGTCAAAATAATAATTCTAAAACAGAGGCATTAAATAGTAAAATAGTTACTGTTAAAATTAATTGGTGGTAACCCAACTAATCCATCAATTCCACCCCTGGGCTTACACACAACAGAAATGCACATACAAGTACATGAACACCAAAAAATCTGTGTAATAGTATTCTTAGCCACCTTGGTCCTAATGGATTAAATTCACAAATAACTCAAGCAGCCACCAGCTGTAAGACGGACAGATGGACTATGGTGTACCTACACAGTGAAGTAGTTTGTAACAACAGAAATGAATGAAGGGCCACAGTTTCCATCATTTTCACAGCCAGACCCACCAGCCATTCCACTGGTTCTAAGATTAAGAATGTATTATTCTAATATATTCGTTTTTCACTTATGTTGGCTAGTTGAATTTTTTATAAGAAGCATATACTCTCTGTATAACCAAAAAACAGTAAAAGACCTCCATTTTGGTGGGGGGGGAATATGCACTTTTACCTTAGATTTCCTAGGAATTTAGATAAATAATATTTAAATATTGCTTAAAATAAAACTGACTCTTTTTAGAAATATTTTTTATCAAAGAGAATTATTTTTATTTACAATGAGGATTGAGATTTATTGAGATAATAAGCCTAAAATGTTCCCATAGTGAAACTCTAGCAAATAATGAGAAAACTGTTACTCCCTTCATTGACTGAATAAGTTCTAAAAATATCAAAAAGAAAACAACAATAAAAAGTGCACACACACACACACACACGCACACACACAAATAGGGGCCTTTAACTTCAAATACAAAGCTAAAGCATCTATGAGAACTGTGGGAGAAAACAAAATGATGACCGAACATTCTAAAAGAGGAAAACGCCCCAAACATCAAGAACTTTTAAAAGAAACACACCTAACAAAATGCCGTCACAAACAGCTAAGCAGTCCCTTGGCAGGAGACACGCAGCCCACGTCTCAACTCCCTCTAGTCACGCATCCGCACCGCACAAACACAGGTGAGGACGCACCTGAGCGCACCTTCCCTTCCACTCGCTCCGGACGCCGCTGGTCCCTGGGCTCCCGGCCCGGCAGGCTGTGGCAGGCGGCCGTCTGCCTCAGCTCTTCCTTCCTGGCCCTTCTGTCTTTTTCCTTTTCTCTGTCCTTTCCTTTACCGTGAGACTTTTCCGCATCTTGTCTTCGATATTTCTCTTTCAACTTTTCTTTTTCCTGGTCTCTCGCATCTTTCCTCCTTTCTCTTTGTTTCTCTCTGTCTCTGTCCCCTCGAGGATTCTCCCTAGCAGCATGCGTCTCTCTCTGGGCCATCCTCTCTCTGTACTTTGTGTCTCGCTCTGGATCCCTGTACTTATGCTCTTCGTATTCAAGGACGTCCACTGCAGACTCCTTGTGCAGCTTCTTTTCTCTGTGTTTCTTTTCTTCCTTGGGGCTACCTGATTGTACAGCCTGAAATGAGAGAAAAGATCCCCCTTGACCAGAAAAGCAGATTTCCATTAGAGTTTCACCTTAACATGAGAATCATATTCATTTGGAGGACCTTAAAAGAACATCAGGTTCAACTGTTTTCTAACCCCAGCAAGATGGGTGGAGGGCCCGACTGAATATTCCTAGAATAATAAAGTAACTGGAGTCATGCTTAGTGTTCAGAAAATAGAATAGTTTGGTCAGGGTCCAGTTGGGTGTGGTTCAGCATCCTTTGCAAGCAAATTGTGTGTGTGTGTGTGTGTGTGTGTGTGTGTGTAGTTAGTGCGCATGCGTGCCAATATATCTTTTTAGTTTCATTGCTATTCTTGTGAAAAAAAGAGAGTTTTAGTGAAGCAGGCAGGCAGGCACCTGATGCCCAGCGCAGCCATACTTTCCAACCTATGGCTCCAAGGACCTTTTGGCCGGTTGCCTAGCTCACAGACCTGTGTGAAGGGGTCTGGCGTGTGACGGGTTTGTGACCCAGTCTGTGAATGGGCTTGAGGGGTCTGGGAGCTCCAGACCCAGCCCTAGCTCAACAATCAGCCCAGTCGGTGCAGGATTACCGGCAGGCAAAAGAGCCCGACAACGAGTGTGGTTGCCTAGCTTTACAATTGGCGTCATGAACAGGATTAAGAGCTAGACAATTGGTGCTGTGAGCAGAATACAGACATTAGCCTTAGCCAGACACTTAGCATTTCTATAACTGCTGGCTGATGCCCCTTATATCAGAGACATTCATGTTTATTGGCAAATCAGATCTAAAACACTACATGGATTAGAAAGAAAGGGACAAGCTGTGTTTTAAAGTCTCTGAGACACAAATCGCCTGGGTTCTATATAAAGAACAAGTACCCTCATTACAGAACTCTCAGGAGGACTCAACCTCAATCCCCAAGCCCCTCTGCCCACCCCACTGCCGCTGCCCCCCAAACTAAGAACCACATGCCCGGAGCAGCACAGGGCCACCTGGGACCATGACAGAGCTGGAGGGGATGCCAGGTTGAACTAACGAGCATGGCCCCATCCCACTATGGCTCCAAAGCACTGACCACATGGCTTTAGCTGTGAGTGGAAAAGGCCTCTAGGATGAGCCACACGGAACCAAGGTGTGCAGAGTGTGAACCAGGTCAAATGGCTCCACTGGGGTCCCAACTTAAATCTTCAAAATATATTACCCATAGGTGTTTTCTGAGGTCATCTGCTTTCCAAGTATCATCTTTGGTTCTTCTCTAAATAGAAAAGTTTAAAGTTAGAATTTTTAAAGTTTAAAATAACTAATTTTGTGTGCTCTAATGAGCTGCTTTTTTCATAAAGCCATTTAAATCAATGACAAACAATTCTTAACATGCCAAAAAATATTTGTCACCTACTAGAATAAAAGGTAATAGAAATAGAGATTTAGGGGCCGGCCCGGTGGCGCGCTGCTACAGTGCGCCGCTTGAGAGCGCAGTGGCGCTCCCGCCGAGGGTTCGGATCCCACATACAGACCAGTTCCTGCTCACTAGCTGAGCGAGGTGCGGGAGCAATACCGAGGGTTGCGATCCGTTGCCAGACACGAAAAAGACAAAAAAAGGAAAAAAAAAAAAAAAAAGAAAGAAAGAAATAGAGATTTAGGGCCAGCCCGGTCGCTTGGGAGCACGGTGGCGCTCCCGCTGAGGGTTCAGATCCCATATAGAGACCGGTCCGC